AGAAACATTTAAGTTTGGAAAAGTTGATGTAGGAGGAGGAGGGTACGGAGAAATCCCGGTCGAGTTACTATGTAACAATGCTTCTAATTGTGTATCCAATATTAATGGAGTAGGATATTGTTGATGTAGCCGATCAATACTAGTACCAGTACCAGTACTAGTGTTTAAGAATTGCGATATGTTACCAAAGTATAATATTTTGGCAAGTTCTATAGCAGTAGTTGAACATTGGCATGCTAGAGCATTGTTAATGCATAAATTATTTGCAGCTGCAAGAAGCTGATCAGGTGGAATATTTGCAAGGGAATTGATGAGGAGATTGTCAGTTCTAGGCATATGGGTGGTTGGATCAATCCCTTTTTGAAGTAGTTTCTTCTTTAGATGAGTATTCCAGAAATTCTTGATTTCGTTATCAGTTCGTCCCGGTAAATGACTTGCTATGGTTGACCACCTATACACATTCACCAAGATCATATTACAACCTTTTCGTCATTTTAGTTATATCATTTAAATCTTGTCTTCAACGTGTCCTTCATGGATAGATGGGTTGACGATGAGGCTTGAAGTTACGATGTTGAACTATTTGATCTAAACAAAATTGATTATATGAGAAGGAAATATACACGTACTTGTTTCCGAGAAGAGCATGAAGTTCGAGGATTGTTTGTTCTTCGTCCTCGGAGAAGGTTCCTCTTTTGATATCGGGGCGTAGATAATTAGTCCACCTTAACCGGCAACTCTTTCCACATCGATTGAGTCCGGCGAGCTTTGATACCTCTTTCCAATTTCCATGTCCATACTTTCGGATGCAATCGACGAGCTTTTGATCTTCTTCGGGTGTCCACGGCCCCTTCTTTAGCCCGTTCGTCTCGTCGCAGCTGCTTGTTGATGATCTTTCCATCAAATACACTTACTTACCTGCAGAAATTCGATAACTTGATATGTGAGAGAGCTAACTAGTAGAACCAAAAAGGTGGAAGGTAATTTACAAACCTGGATGGGGTCGTGAGAAGAAAGAGTTAGATTTTGTTTTTTACGCGAATGAGTTGAGGTTTTATAGTGAATATGTCCGCATTCACGTAATGACAAGCCTCTGTTTGTTCAAATTAAACTAAAATGAAATAAAATATCAAATCAATCAACTATCTTTGAATATAAG